TGCGCCCGCAAGGGGCTGCGAGAGCGTCGCTTCGGCGCAGCCCTCGCGCAGTTCCTCTCCGACAGATGTTCGGAGACGCGTGAAGATACGACGATACGAGTGAGCAGCGCCTTCGTGGCCACGACGCTGGCATTGCGGCACGCCCCTGACGCATTTCCTACTCCACGCGCTGTTGGGACACGTGAGAATACGAGTGATATGCGCTCCGAAGGCCACGAGGGGCTCAATTCGGCACACCCCTCACGCATTTCGTGCCCCACACTCTTTTGGGACACGTGAAAATCCGAGTGATCTGCGCTCTCAGGCTCTTGGGACACGTACGAATATGAGTGAATGGCCTTTCCATTCTGATGGGAACCTCAATTCCGCATACCCCTCAAGCACTTCATGAATGTTGGGCCCTCAGCTGGGCCCCATGACATTTCACACCCTTCACGTACGTCGTGCCCCATGGACCTCAAAAGGCACTTAGCTGGCTTCCAAGACTGCCTAGCGCAAATGCGCCTCAAATAATCATTGCAACGATTGCTACCGACCCTCGTCGAGGCAGTAGCGGGCTCAATACTTCTTCCTCGTCGCACAACCAGACATGTCGGTCAGCAGGGTGGGTCGGGTATTTTTCCTCTGACTTCCTCACGGCTGGTGAATCTGGAGCCTGAAGTTCCCAACAGCTACACGAACGCAGTGTGGATCGTTTTCACAATGTTGTTTGTGCCGTAGCGCCAAGCACCTTCCTCTTGAAAGCTCCTAGCAGCTACAAGGATGGAGAGTGGATGCTCTAGAACATGTTGTTATCGCCGTAGTGCCGCGCACATTCGTCTTAAAAGTTGCGTGGCACTTGCCGTAAGGCCGCGCAAATTCGTTTCAAGAGTTTCCGGCAGCTTCAAGGACGGAGGGCGGTTCGTCTGCACAGCGGGGATATCGCTTGCTGTTCCCTCATACACAATGACCAGACGTATTAAGCTGCACAGCTGGACGGGGATCCCGATTCCGATGCCTGAGCGGTTCTAAGCTATGGATGTATCTCGAAGATGAGAAGCAGCTGCACGGATGGGCAGCGGCTCGTTTTGTCGAAATGTTGTTGACGCTGTACTCTTCATGGATCACCAGGTCCTACTGAGCCCCTACGCCCCCCCAGTCTCTGGGCGGGCCGCCGTCGCCGAGTCCACTTTGGTTGCCGAGTGCACCTGGTGTTCGGGACCGCCGCTGCGCCGCGGCGAGGTTCTGCGGTGGGGCCCTCGGCCGAGGCCGCCCGCCGCCAAGATGCGAGAGGAACCTCGGCTGCTTGGAGGATTGCTTTCGGCCCACCCCGCCACCGCGCCTACATCACGAGAAAACGGATGAGTGGGGACTGTCGGGAAATCAGCTTCTGAAGTACGCATTGTCCTGAGTAGACCCCCGGCACGCGCAGTTCCTCGTGCGAGGCCATGGCCTCACCCGCCTCGCCCTTAAGGGGCCCGGGCGCATGCCCGCACAGGCGTTCCGTTCCGTTCCGTTCCACCCCGCCACCGCGCCTGGGTCATGGGCCAGAGGCCTCATGTGTGCTCATTGGGCTCTGTTGGAGGAGCAGTCTCTTGGGGCGTTTTTCGGCGGCCTTTTGGAGGCCTGCTGGGGGCCTGGTAGGGGTCTTGTGGGGGTCTCTCGGAGGCGTGTCGCGGGCTTCAGCGGGGAATATGTAAGATCTTTGGAGAGGTTTGGTTCGCGAGGCGCCTTCGGGCTCTCAGTTGAGGGCCGTCGTAAGGCTTTCTGGTCCCCGAGGAAGCTATTGCGCCGTCTTGGGGTGATTTGGGGGGCTCCAGGAGGGCTCCATGACGGGCCCCAGGGGCCAGATGAGAGCACGCTGGACACATCGAAGACGGATCGGAAAAGCGCGCCACGCAAAAGTCACAAAATAATCAATCACGCTGGAAGCGAAAGGAACGCCGCCAATGCCTCGGGCTCGTTAACTGATGAAGCAAAACTTGCAGCCATGTGCGGGCCCGAGGGGAGTTTTAAGCATAATTCCGTTGTGTATTTTGTCGCGGTTTCACGGTTGTTTTTTGTGTGGAGAGTTCGGGCCCAGGGGGTAAGCGACGGCGAAGCGGGATATTTCCGAACAATTTCCAGGCATATGTTCTGTTATGTTTTGGGTGTGCGCTCGTGAGTTGAGGGTTTTGTGTGGTTTGGGGCGCGGTCGCGGGCGCTTTCGGACAAGAGCGCGGAGGAAAGGTTTGAATGGGATTGCGGCATCGGATTCAGGCTCGTATTTCGCGGCCCGACGATTTTCAAGTCAGAAATCTGTGTTGTAAGAATGCACGCATGCATTCGTGCGGGGTAAGCACGCCTTCGTACATTGCCTACACCGATATCTTTCCATGTTCATATCATGTAGCGCAGATGCTGTGCGCAGAGTCCGTCGCCGTCGTTTTCATATTGTCGCCTTGGAATTTGAGCGCGGCCGCCGCCATTTTTTGTAACACTCACTTGGTGTCAGGGGGTTTGGCCGATTTTGGGAACTCCGCGATATGTTGTGTGTATGTCGTCGTCGCCGTGGAAATCCTTCTGAATGCTAGTCCTAGAGTGTCGACCTGGTGATCTTCATCGAAAGTAATGACCTTACTATCTCGTATCCGTCAAGACTACAAGGGCACTGGGCAGCTTAAGAGAACGGGGCTCGGGAAGGAATGCAAGGCCCATGAGACGCGTCTTTCAATTTGGCGCTCTCCCATGTGAAAGGGAATGTTTGTAGGGACTCCTGAGAGTGTTGACGTGGGACGGGAGCGTGCAGCAGCACCTTTGACGCATCCTGGGTTTCCTCTGGTCCTTCTCCTCCTCGCCGCTGTTGGTCTAGCTGAAGCTGCGATGCCCCAGAGGATCTATCCCGCGCTCTGGTGCTGGCGGACCCGCAGAGCGACGTAGCGGAGTTGGGACCAGACGAGTATTGGTCCGCAGAGAATGCACTGGGGCGCTGCCGCAAGGCCCAAGGCGCTCGGGGAAAAAAACAACTACGTGCCCAATTCCGTCTTCCTGTCCGCGCACGTCTGCGTAAGCTGATGGGTAGGTCGAGTGAGCCGACTCGGACTTGACCCCTTGGCAACGCTCCGCTTCCTGTCTTCGTTGCCCAACCATTGCTTGCATTGAAATGGTCCTCGCGGAAGCGGCAGTAACGATGTGGGGAAAATGTCGTGCCGATTTCTGTGGGCAGTCAGGGTCTTGGGTTCCCAGTTCCAGGTCCCGGGGAGTGGATTTCGGGGGGCGGTTGTATTTCGGATTCGTGTTTTCTGGCCTTGGCGAAATTATTCCGCCGATTCCAGTGTGAGGTTGGGCTCCTGGACTCCCAGAGCACGTTCAGAGACGAGAAACATGGAAAGGAGAGATATTCTAGAGTGCATCGAGTGGAAATTAGTGAGCACAGGATGCTATAGAAAATCTAGGGTGTGTACTTCTGTATATGTGTAGATATATTCACACGCGTAGTACTCCGCGCTTGCAGATGAGAGTGAGGGGGCGGCGGCGCGGGCGAAGCGCCCCCCTGTGTAGCCTTCACGTGCAGCCCCCAGGTGTGGCCGCCAGGTGTGGCCCCCACGCGTACCCCCAGGTGAAGTCCCCGTGCGTGACCTGCAAGTGCGTAGCCCCCCCTGCGTGGCCCCCAAGACTGGCCCCCACGTGTAGCCCCCGAGGGTGCCCCCCAGAGGGATTGCCCTTCCATCCAGCCACGCGCGCGCCGTGAGAATGTAAGGCCGTCCAGCCTCCTCACTCTGATATGCAAATACAGATATACAGAGCGAGAGAGAGAGAGAGAGAACAACAAAAAGAGAGGGAGAGCAAGAGAGAGAGAGAGAGAGAGAGACAGAGAGAGACCCGGCCAGGCGTGCGGCTGGCGAAGGTCATTATTGGGGCGCCAATCGTATTGGTCGTGGGCAACTTTGCGATGTTCGCTATCGTCCAATCGGCCGCGTACTCAAGCGCAGTCGGGCAAGTCGCATCAGTCGTCACAGAGCCAATCATGGAAGCGGTGTGGACCGTGGGTGAGGCGGCTTTCACGCCGCTCTTCAACTACGCCTTCTCCGCCTCCCTCTACCTGACCTCGGGCGCTCTGACTGCAATCTTTGGCACGATGGCCGCAGTGTACTTCGTGACCGGCGCTGTCGTGGCGATCGCCGCACCAGCTTACATTCGGGGGCGGCAAAGAGGGGGGTGATGACTCGGGGTGAGTGGATATCATGGCGCGGGCCATGATATTTCCCCAGATTTCATGGCGCCTCTTCTTATTTCAGTACGTTCCTGGCCCCCCCGTTTGGCCGCGCACATGCCACCGGCCATGATTTGCACCCCCTCCTCTTGGACACCCCCCTCTTGGCCGCCCCCGATACATGTCAGTCGCTCCGATCGTGATGGCGATGCAGGGAGCAGAGCGGCTCACGGCTTTGACCGTCGACGCGGGGGCTCGCCTGCTAGGCTTCGGCAGCGTGCGGCCCAGCTGCTGCTGCACACCGGGCAACTCGACCAGCGCTAGCGCCGGCTGTGCCCTCTTCGCGCCGTCCGACGACGCCTCGTGGGCCGTGTGCCCGTCCGGCTGGCAGCACGACGCGACCCAGTGCCCGGTGCCAGAGGTGGTGCGGTATTCGGAGGATCGGGGGCCCCCTAAACGGGGTGGTGACCACACCGTGCGGTGAGTCGGTGGGGATTCGGGGTCACCGCCCGGTTTTGGGACTCGGGTTCCTCTCCGAGGATGTCTCGGGCGACTGGGGCCTCCGAGGTCCCAAGACCGTGCGGTGACGGGCCGTGCGGTGAGGTCTTGGGGGGGGTTCGAGGTCACCGCACGGTTTGTCACCGCACCGCTTCGGGACCCCACAGAGGAGCAGACCGTGGAGGGGTGCGTCTGCAAGAACGCCACGCAGTGCAGCGAGAACAGGCCGTACCACGGGCATGCCTGGTGCGAGGTCTCGGGGCCCGGTGGCTGGCTCTTCTCGGACGCCGTGGACGGGGATGGCGCGTGCGGCTCGCGCTTCTTCACAGACATGTCCCGCCGTTGGGACTATTGCCGCATCGACGGGCGCCCACTGGAGTATGCCGCGGGCAAGAGCAGCGCACCCAACGATGCACTTGCCACGTTCATCCCGAACCGATTCGAATCGACTCTTCTTCTACCAGGCCCGACGAACATATTCAGTCTGGGAACTTGGGTCGACGCGTACCGAGGAGTCACCACAGCAAAGGAAGGCTACCTTGAGTGGTCTAAGTGTTTCGCCGGGACCCCCGTGGAGACACTTAGTGGTTGCGCACAGATGTGTCTGGAGGAAGGTGCGCCCAGTGCAAGCACTATGAGCGGCGAGGCCAACATGACCTACGAGTGCGTGGCTTTTGCGTACAATCGCGCGCTACACCTTTGCGTGCGCCTCCCAGAATTTGCAACCGATGCCGAGTTCGGCCCCCACCTCAGCGAGTGGTCTGGAGAGGGCTGGCAGAACTTCGTATCCAAGTACCATGGCAGAGACACAAAGGCTGTGTGCCCTTCAAAGGTTCTGGCGCGCATTCGGGAGAGTGGTTACAAAATCGTCCGGGACAAGAACAACGGACACCTCTACGTGCAGTGCGCGAACAGCGAGAGTGTGCAGAAGGTTTCGTGCATCGAGAGTGACTGCCAGTACAAGTCCAGTTGGTGCTTTGTGAAAAACAGCTGCAGAAGTGGAGTCCCCTCTTTTATGGGTGGGTGCACGAGGCTTAGCGACGTCGAAGCGCTTGCATGTGCAGGCGAGCATGGCGCAGTGGCGCCTAGCAACGGCAACGGGCAAATCAGCGATTATTGGGACGCGTCCAATGCGGTGAGCCGATGTGCACGTGCCAATACGATTCGCGCCATCAAGGTCGCGGTGGCCACGCCGTTCTTGCTTGCAATTGGTGAATTCGCGACAGTGTCTCTGGTGCAGAACGGCGTGTATGCGGAACTCGTGGGGAACGTCTTCAGCAAGACTGCTAGCCCCATCGGGGAAACTTTGTTCCGCATAGGCTCATACATCGCAGAGCCGATTGCTAGCGTTGGTGAAGTGTTGCCACTGGCGCTGCTCCAGTTTGTCTACGGTGCCATTGTCGGAAGCTTCGCGCTGGTCTACGTCTTGGGGTCCGCTGTCCTCGCGATCTCGCCCACGGCCGCAGCGCTCCTGCTTCCCATTGTCTCCGCCTTCGCCGGAGCGCAGAGGCTCACAGAGGTTGGCATCGACATCATCACGAGGCTCGTTGGTTATGGACACATGTACCCTATGTGCTGTTGCCCAGAGATCGACGGCACGGTCTCTGCGGACGGCACGCGAGCTTGCGCAGTCACTGCGTCACTCTACGCGAATGATACGACGCGGTGCCCGACAGGCTGGGTGCACGACGCGTCCCAGTGTGCCGCCCACAGTGTCCGTGATCACTTGATCGACCATTGTGTGTTGCAAATACTCTTGGTTGGATGATCTAGCGATCTGTGGCTTCAGTTGGCGCTCGATCCCAAATGTTCTCCGTCAGCTCCCTCGGGTGCTCCACCAGGCCCCTGAGGTTCCCCACTTCACCCTTCCGCGAAATGTGCGGCGAGTTTGCCCGTAGCACGTCGACGCCGACTGACCCAAAAGGTTAAGTGTACACGCCCGACAGGTGACGTCAAGGCTTTTCCGACAGGGCCTGCAGACCGCATCGCGCGCGTCACTTCGTAGCCGGGGCGCGCCAGCACCCCGCCCCGGGGGCCGCGCGGCGCGCGGCGGCTCTGCGGCAGCTGGGGAGGGCCCCCGTCTCCACCGAGGGGCAGGGGTGTGCACGGACTGGGGCTTCGCCCCGACGCCTCGGCGTCGCTCGGACGTGTGCATGCTCTTCTCGGGGAGGGACCATCGAAGAGCAGTCCGGAGCATCTTGCGAAGAAAAGCACGCACGAAACCGAACAACGCACGGGGAATGGACGTCCGGGCGATGGAGAGACGCACGCGGACAGATGAGGCTTGACGCGGAGATCCTGATGGAGGGGCCGCGCGGCGCTCGGAGCTTCTGTGGTGCACGGGGCTCCTCGACGTTTCCTGCCTTCCTCCCTGCGCCCTGCTTCGTTCGGCTTATGGCATTGGTGCGCAACTTCTGCCGACACCTGATTGCCGGCTCCCTTTCCGGGGAGGGAGCTCGGGCGCGAGGTGCGCGGAAGCCGCCATCGCTGTCCGCCGAGGCGGCTCGCGTCGGGGGTTCGGCAGCGGAGGGGGGCATCCCGTGCTGCAGGGTCGCCCGGGGGGTCCTGCTCGTCGTCGTCCGCTTCTCCAGGGGCTCGCCCGAGTCTGGTTTGCAGACGGTTGGATTCCCGCTGGCGCCAAAGCGTGCCCCTCACGTGTCTGATCGGCGTGACTGCTGACATCCCTGATTCGGGGGGGCCCCCCTCCTGCGCACGGACGCGGGGCCCGGAGTGTGCGGCGGCCGCGGTCTCCTCCTCGGCTGCGGGCTGCCCTGCCGGAGCTGTTCACGGGAGATTCCGCCCTGGAGTGGCCGCGATGTTGTTTTGGGGCGGCTTCTTCTGAACTCCGAACGAGAAAAGGTGTTTCTGTGTCCAGATGGGGGTTTCGGTGTCCTCGATGAGTGTTTCTGTGTCCAGATAGGGTGTTTCTGTGTCCCAGTGTATGTGTGCCTTGGAGTGGGTCTGGGTTGGGAGTTTCTGTGTCCCAGCGCGCCTCTTGGACTTCCCGAGAGAGCCTCTTGGACTTCCAGAGAGAGCTTCTTGGACTTCCCGAGAGAGCCTCTTGGACTTCCCGAGAGAGCCTCTTGGACTTCCCGAGAGAGCCTCTTGGACTTCCCGAGAGAGCCTCTTGGACTTTTCGTAGTCGTAGTAGTAGTAGTAGTAGTAGTAGTAGTAGTAGTAGTAGTAGTAGTAGTAGTAGTAGTAGTAGTAGTAGTAGTAGTAGTAGTAGTAGTAGTAGTAGGAGTAGGAGTAGGAGTAGTAGGAGTAGGAGTAGTAGTAGTAGTAGTAGTAGTAGTAGTAGTAGTAGTAGTAGTAGTAGTAGTAGTAGTAGTAGTAGTAGTAGTAGTAGTAGTAGTAGTAGTAGTAGTAGTAGTAGTAGTAGTAGTAGTAGTAGTAGTAGTAGTAGTAGTAGTAGTAGTAGTAGTAGTAGTAGTAGTAGTAGTAGTAGTAGTAGTAGTAGTAGTAGTAGTAGTAGTAGTAGTAGTACTAGTCGTAGTAGTCGTAATAGTATAGTAGTAGTAGTAGTAGTAGTAGTAGTAGTAGTAGTAGTAGTAGTAGTAGTAGTAGTAGTAGTAGTAGTAGTAGTAGTAGTAGTAGTAGTCGTAGTAGTCGTAATAGTCGTAGTAGTCGTAGTAGTCGTAGTAGTCGTAGTAGTAGTAGTAGTAGTAGTAGTAGTAGTAGTAGTAGTACTAGTAGTAGTAGTAGTAGTCGTAGTAGTAGGAGTAGGAGTAGGAGTAGGAGTATGAGTAGGGGTAGGAGTAGGAGTAGGAGTAGGAGTAGGAGGAGTAGTAGTAGTTTTAGTAGTGTCGTAGTAGGAGTAGAAGAATAATAATATGTAGTAGTAGTAGTAGTAGTAGTAGTAGTAGTAGTAGTAGTAGTAGTAGTAGTAGTAGAGTAGTAGTAGTATTAGTAGTAGTAGTAGTAGTAGTAGTAGTAGTAGTAGTAGTAGTAGTAGTAGTAGTAGTAGTAGTAGTAGTAGTAGTAGTAGTAGGAGTAGGAGTCGGAGTAGGAGTAGGAGTAGGAGTAGGAGTAGTATAGCAGTAGGTAGTAGTGGTCTACGTAGTAGTAGTAGTGTAGTAGTAGTGAGTAGTATAGTAGTGGGTAGTAGTAGTAGTAGTTAGTAGTAGTAGTAGTAGTAGGTAGTAGTAGTCGTAGTAGTAGTAGTAGTAGTAGTAGTAGTAGTAGTAGTAGTAGTAGTAGTAGTAGTAGTAGTAGTAGTAGTAGTAGTAGTAGTAGTAGTAGTAGTTAGTAGTAGTAGTAGTAGTAGTAGTAGTAGTAGTAGTAGTAGTAGTAGTAGTAGTAGTAGTAGTAGTAGTAGTAGTAGTAGTAGTAGTAGTAGTAGTAGTAGTAGTAGTAGTAGTAGTAGTAGTAGTAGTAGTAGTAGTAGTAGTAGTAGTGCCACAAGCATGACATACACACGATGCCACAAGAGCACAAGGTGGCGGACACAGAAACTCCAAAGTGTCCCGCGTCCACAAAATCCTGGACGCAAAAGTTTCCCCTATTGGACAACGGTTTGATTTCCACGAGAAGATGGGTCTCGTCGCACAATACGAAACGCATTAGAACGGCATCATAGCGGACATAGAAACACTCATCCTGGGGACCCCCGGGCGGCGCGGGACACAGAAACACCCAACGGGGACACAGAAACCCCCAGTTGGACACAGAAACAACCTGTCGCAACTCCGAACTACTTCCTCGGCCTCTGGCCGAGGGTGGCTGGGCCTTCAGCGTGTCTGCCATCAACTACAGCGTCACTGGGCACTGATATGTGGGGTCGGAACGGAGCGGCAGGTTTGCTGCAGATTTTGCAGAAGATTGTAGAGATAGCGAGAGATGAGATGGCCAGGTCAGTGGCACGAGCGCGACGACAGTCACGCTTCGCGCCGCCGCGACATGCGCCACAGAGCCCTCCTCCAGGACGGCGGTGCAAGAGCGCAACGAGGTCGTCGCGCCTCGAGCGGCGCGAATGAAGTGCGAAGATGGGTGACTTGGGCCGCGGACGTGATTTATACATGTATGTATTTCTGATCTACCAGAGGTGCCAGGCCCCGGGCCCCAGCCCCCTGGCACATTGTCTCGCATCGGGACGTACAGTCCCGCCTGCGACCCATCCGCGACTCCCCACGGCCCCCTCCCCCCGCGATCCACCCCGCGACCCACCCACGGCCTGACCCGCATCCCGCCCCGCAACCCACCCACAACACGCCCACACTCTTGCGACGCCAAGGCGGCGCCTGCGGCGGTCTTGTTGTGCAAGTAGTTTGCCACTGCGGCGATTTTGTCACATGTCTGCTTTCGAGCCTTGCGAATTTGCTGGCGACCCGCCCCCTTCAGTCTTGTCCGCAACTTCGGGGGCAATGGATATATATGGATATATATATATATATATATATATATATATAGACGGTCCAAAGGGCCCGAAATCGCCGAATAACACCGAAATATCACTCCCAAACGCCTACGATGGGCTCAAGACGGCCCAACAGGCCTTCAAGACGCCCCAAGAGGTCCCTAAGAGGTCCCTAAGCGGCGTCCCAAGAGGGCTCCCACTAACAAAAATCGTCCCATTCCCAAAGGAAAACGTGCATTTGTAACATATCCGCCTCTTCGTCTCACACACCTTTCAAGGCGGTCCAAGAAGCCCCCAAGATCACTCCAAGACGGCCCGAGAGACTTTCTAGACTGCTCAAAGACGGCCCAAGAGCGCTCCAAGAAGGCCCAAGAAACCCTCGAGAACTCTTTTTCGGAGCCCAGGAGGGCTCCAAATCGGTCCAAGAGGGGCCCGAGAAGCCGTCCAGACGGTCCAAGAGAGCCAGGAGACGCCGAAATATCACCCCCAAGCGCCTACGATGGCCTCAAGACAGCCCAACAGGCCTTCAAGACGCCCCAAGAGGTCCCTAAGCGGCGTCCCAAGAGGGCTCCCACTAGCAAAAAACGCTTCATTCCCTTAGGAAAGCGTGCATTTTTAACATATCCGCCTCTTCGTCTTTCACACCTTTCAAGGCGATCCAAGAGGCCCCCAAGATCACCCCAAGACGGCCCGAGAGACCTTCTAGACTGCTCAAAGACGGCCAAAGAGCGCTCCAAGAAGGCCCAAGAAACCCTCAAGACGGTCCAAGAGGCCCCAAGACGGCCCCATGATTCAGGTCCACAGGGGCAACCTGAACGGAAATTCTCAGCCTCCCGCCCAAACACGCCCCCGAAATGCCCCTATCAGCCCCCAGGTAGCCCCACGAAGCCCCCAAGAGAGCCCCAAGAGGCCCCCAACAGGCCGCAAGAAAGCCCCAAGAGGCCCCCAAGAGACCCCCAGGAAGCTCCCAGGAGGCCCCCAAGAGGCCAGGCAGACCCTCCCAAGAGACCACCAAGAGGGCCCACCCAGAGCCATCCACGAGGCCTCCCAAAGTTCCCAAGAAGCTCCCACGAAGCTTCCAAGGGCTCCCAAGACCCCCCAAGACCCCGCGATGGCACAATACGGGCCGGCGGAATGAGCGAAGCGATTCAATAATCTGCCCAAGACGCCTATGATGACTTCACGACGGCCCAAAAGGCCCCCAATACCGCCCACGAGGCCTCCGAGAAACCTCCGAGAGGGCTCCACCTCGAGACCCCAATCGTTGATGTGTTTCGAAACACCTGGACCCAACCAGGTGCTCCGCGGACTGCAGGCATGGGGCAGCGTCAACATTTTCCAGGA